TCTTACAAGCTTCCTATAAGTAAGTACACTCCTCCTAACTAGTTATTTGCTTAGACTACTTGCTAAACCATTGAAGAACATCAAAAACCCTCAAGAACACTTGTGTTTACGGTCAAGGGATATCCTTGAACCGTAAACACCATCAAGTGGTGTTTAAGTGCCACTAACACCTTCTAGGGCTTGGATATTGGACTAGAACCTTGCATGCATGAGCTAGAAACCCCAAAACACGAAATGGTTGGAGTGACCATGAGTTTACGGCCGTAAACTCATGGGTTTACGACTATAAACTCCAAGGGAATGGTCCAAGGACCGTAAACTCCAAAGATGAGCCATTTTGAGCCCTAGTCCCTTCCTAAGCCTTTGATACAAACCTAGAACACTTCCTTGAGGGGTATAATACCTTAAATCACACAATGGTACAAATTACCATGAGTTTACGGCCGTAAACTCATGGGGGAAATGACCAAAAACCGTAAAGTCATATTTTGTTGCCAAATGAGAAGTAAACTCCAATGTGAGACCATATTCTCTTTAAATACAACCCTTTAGTACTCCTAGCACTTGAAGCAAAGTGTTTCCATGTATTAGAGTGTCTTTACTTGCTTAATTAGTTGTTAAATGACTAATTAGATACATTTATGTATCACTACATGTAAATAGGATTCGTGGGTGTGTTCAAGTCCTCACTTGACACCTAGCATCCTATCCGGCACTTCCATCCAAACCACTCACTACAGGTGAGTTCATACCCCTTAATTAACCTTTTAAATGTTTTTAAATGCTTTTATGGGGGGGGGATACAAGTTGAATCATGATAGTTATTATATCAATCACATGTGATTATTAACTATCAAACTATGGATTTACTACACTATTAGCTGCTTTATCAAGCAAACTACTTCAAAATGATTTCTCGAACGCTTTTACACGTTAAACTCTTTATCAAACAGGTTTTCTAAACTACATCTTTCCTTTCAAATTCTGTTATGACTATGTTTCAAGCAAAGGTTTTCACGTACTTCAAACTATGTTCCAAATAAGGGATTTCTTATACTTTAAACCGTTTATATCAAATAAAACTTCTTTTAAACTTTTATATTATCAATTGCATGCCTCTATATGTATAGTTATATAAGTAATGTTTAAAGGACTTAGGACTGCTAACCCGCCTTATTTCCTGTTCCTTGTTTGGTTGTGGACTTAGGGTATCCTATTATTTGTCCGAAGGTCGTCTAAATATTAGTTATATATTATGTATACATATATAGACATAAAAGTTCTATCAGTCAGTTCAGTACCTTTGGGTAGCAAAGGCATACTTCTATTTATTCATATACATATATTACTAGTAACTATAATGGGTATAGTTAGGAGATACTATTTACTATTCATAGTGCAAGGAATCACACCAGAGTCAGTTCATTCATGAGTCTATACAAATATATAACATACTATACACTATACAAAGATTAAATACTATAACAGAATGTGACATACTACTTCTCGATACGACACTTCATCATGGTATTACTTTGTAACCAGAGTCTCCTGGAGGGAGAGCGGGCATTGTGTGTATAGATCTATACGGGACAGACACTCCCACATCTTGACTGATAGCTACAGTCCCAGCCGAAAGGCCAAGGGGTGACAGAATGCTACCTCACTATTTATGACCTGGAGGGTCATCCGTTATTCAGCCGTCTATCAGCATGGTTACATACGAGTTCACATTCAAACCTTAAATTAACTAAATAAGAATTTAAGGCAAAAATAGACTTTTCGAGGTGTATTGTTCATTCGATACCACCTGGGGTCTACACTTCATTCATTTAGACTTTTCGAGGCGTATTGTTCATTCGATACCACCTGGAGTCTACACTTCATTCATTTAGACTTTTCGAGGCGTATTGTTCATTCGATACCACCTGGAGTCTACACTTCATTCATTTAGACTTTTCGAGGCGTATTGTTTATTCGATACCACCTGGAGTCTACACTTCATTCATTTAGACTTTTCGAGGTGTATTGTTCATTCAATACCACCTGGAGTCTACACTTCATTCGTTTAGACTTTTTGAGGCGTATCGTTCATTCGATACCACTTGGAGTCTACACTTCATTCATTTAGACTTTTCGAGGCGTATTGTTCATTCGATACCACCTGGAGTCTACACTTCATTCATTTAGACTTTTCCTTATTCACTATATAGCCAGCAGTATCACTGCTGAGGTATAATATTATTTTCCCTATTACAGTTACTTTGTGATTTTATCACATACACGTTTATGTATAATTATATTTAGATAATAATAATTATACTAGGGGAAAAACCTTCATTTTTGCAGAGGTGCAAACCTTCAAAACAGTCGGGTCTTGATAGAAGACTGCTTTTATACTAATAGGAAATATGGGATTTTCTACGGTTTTTCATACTTATACAAAGTTTTCATAAAACCATTACAAGTCTTTTTCCTTACAGTTTTACAAATCAATGACACTAAAATACTTATGATCTCACCAGCTTTAAAGCTGATACTCATTTTCAAAATAACTTGTATTCTCAGGTCACCAGTAGACAGGTACGACGACCAGGTTTTGGAGAAGACGGAGCAGTCAAGACTCGTATTTTATTTTTGATTTCTTATTATCATGTCGTATACTATGAAAGAACATACATGTATTAAAATTCTACAATTAATGCAATGGATGATGTTGTTGCTTGTTTATTACTTTACTCTGTTGTGATACTTTACATGACGTCCTCCACCCTAGAACGTTTCTGCCGTTCTTGGTTTTGGGGTGTGACATTTGATGCAATGATAAGGAACACAAATTCATGGAAAACTATTGTCGCTCCAAACATAATTAAAAAGATGAGAAAATGGCACAAAAAGATGAGGTATAGATTGTTTTCCAAATTCGATTGTTCTATAATAAATTTTAAAAATATTATACTAACTTTACATATTTTCTAGGAATTGGATTGTTATCCCAAGTGGGCCTCTATTGGAGGTTAGAAATGGTTATGAAGGATATATGGTAGACTTGGAAGGTTGGGCATGTACATGTAGACTATGGGTCTTGTCTGGCCTTCCATGTGTACATGCATGCGCGGCTATAAACCATACCCACCAAAATCTCCTTGACTATGTAAGTGATTGGTTCAAGAAGGAAAAATATCAGTTGGCTTATAGCACTTCCATTGTTCCCTTAAATGGAAGCAATTTATGGATTAAAACTCCATATGATAAGTTATTGCCCCCAAAAGAACGTAGGATGCCAGGAAGGCCTTCTATTAAAGGAAAAAGAGACAAGAATGAAAAATAGACAAAGTATCCAACCGTTTCTGGTAAAGGGAAAATAAAGAAGTGTCACAACTGTTTACAAGAAGGACACAATGCTAGGACATGCAAGAATGAAAAGGTTGTGCCCCCTCCTAAGGAAAAGAAGCCTCCCGGTAGGCCTAAAAAAACAAACTCTGATGAAAGACCTCCGAGAGGACCATCTGCAGCTACAAGTGGTGGTAGAGGCGGAAAAGGACCAACAGGGGCAAGAGGTGGAAGAGGATCATCTGCAGGTACAAGTGGTGGTAGAGGAGGAAGGTCATTTATTGATGAAATCTTTGATTCACCAATGGAAAATGAAGTTATAGACATGTTTGATAATTTTGAGGAAGAACTATGTAGGGCTGAAATGGAAAGGAGAGAAGGTGAACCTTTGTTGCAATTCCCTGAATCTCAAATTGATGAAGGAGTTCCTATAACTCAAGATGATGGAGTTGCCGAAACTCAAGATGTAGTGCCTGAAACTCAATTTGATATTGAAAATGGTAAGAAATAATTATATATATATATATATATATATATATATATATATATATATATATATATATATATATATATATTCTATGCTTATATTAAATTTAATAATTTCATAACTTTTTTTGTAGCTAATTTGGAAGATTAATCTAATGTGGTTGGTAAGATAGGAATTGATGTATCTGTTATCCGTGCAAAGCTCAAACCAAGAAAGCCATCTGAAAGGATTATTTAGAATATTAGATTTAGGGGTTGGAATGGGACAAAACTCTAGTCTTTTGTAATACTTTTGTTACTTGGAATTTAGTACTCCTAGTATTTTGTTATTGAAATGTAATAACATTATGTCCCATTAACAGGTTATATTCCTCCTATTTGTTAATGGAGTGGGGTTTTAAAAAAGCTAAAAATGTACTTTATGTTCCTCTTTTTCCTCCTATTTTATGTCTTGTATGGTAAAAACGTAAACAACCACCAAGGGCAAAATGGTCAATGGGCAAAACTGGTGAATTGAACTATTTCCTGTGAACTATTTATGTATGATGAATCATATTTTTTTTTCTGTTTCTGGATTTCCAAATCAGGGGTGATAGAGTATTAAAATAGATATGAGTCAGGAGGGTAAAATGGGGAATAGCTTATCAATACAATATTGAAATCATATTTCTTTTTCTGTTTCTGTTTTAGTATTTTTTTTTTCTGTTTATGTTCTGTTTCTACGTTGGGTGCTGGTGTGTGTGAAAAAAAAGTATTATGCAGAAAATTGTTACTTGCATCTAATGTTCCCAATTATCAATTCAATCATGCCAAACAAAAAGGTTAAACGACAGCTGTGTTTAATGCCTGGTGCTATTGATGTTGGTGTGTGTTAAAAAAATGTTATGCAAAAAAGTGCTACCTGCATCTAATTACCAATTGAATCCAAATGCTTAAACTGTAAAAACACAACTGGGGAAATGTAGGTAAGTATTGAAACCAAAAAATGAAACCAACAACAATAATCTCCATAATGAGATAATATGCGACCAAAAGGGTAAAACTGTCCAACTAATTTGTACCCAAATATAAAATGATATTAGAACCATAAGAAGGGAACCTGGAACAATCCATATACTCACAGAACTACATTCTCTTCATAAAATAGATGTATGCAATAAATCCTTTCTCAACCAATTTATAACGGTTAGAATGTGCTGAGTCTTTAAAGTACATTTCTTAAACTTTACAAAGGTGCATAAACCAAACAACATCACCCTAATACATAATTAGCTATTTTACATTAACCTACTTTCCCTGTTACATAATTATAACCCAAATGAAGATTCAAACCAGAACAATGCCATACATCAACAACCTAACCATGAATACACCAGTCTCTTTTTTGTCAATCAGCTCAAAGTTCATTAATTTCTTCTGCAGATTCATGTTCTCCTTCTCCAGTTCTTCTTTTTAGAAAGGATCATATTCTCCCTATGCAACTCATTCACTTTACTCTTATACCAGGGAAGACCCAAAATCCTCATCCACCAACACAAAAAATTTACAATCTTTTGAAGTATCCTACAAAAAAAAAATAAAGTATCTGAGTAAGAATTAGAGAAACAGTATCAATCTTAAAAGAATCTTAGATACCAGTGAATTAGGGCATCGGATGAAATGTTGCCCTGGGTTCTTCCTGGTCGTTGAAGTCCAGATCTTTGGTTGTTCACCACATCTACACAAAACGTTTTCGTAGTTTAGAGTTGAGGAAGAAGAATAAGAAGATCCATACGATCGATCGGCCATTTCTGCAAAGACGAAGTTAAAAGAAGAAGAGGAACAAGAAAAATATCGTAACTTTGAAGAACCCAGGGCGATGCACTTTTTAACCTAGTTTTCTTTGCCAATGTGTCACCCAATGTACAGCCATGTCATCTATTTAGATGCCACGACATTTATGCCACCGGTTCCTTAAGCTTAACCGGTTACAAATCATCAAAATAATAAATATTTGAAATAATAATGGTTAAATTGTACCAATTGATAATATAAGGGTTTTTTTAAGAGCTGGAGTATAATACATAGGGTTTTTATGTGGTTTTCCCTATTGTAAAACTTATAAATACCCAACTTTAAAATATTTGAAATGGTTTAAAAGATGTTTAAACTTTTTATAAACTCCATGTCTTTATAATAAATAAAGAGTTTTTATTAAAAAGACTAAAATCGGTTTATAGCGTTATAATGGCAAATAATAAAACTAGTGATTATTTTTTGCGTCGAAACTTAAATATATGATATTGATGTTTTAAACATAACGAAACATAAGTATCTACACCCAAGTTTTGGTTTATCAAAATATGACTTTTATCATAAGATGCATAAAATTGAGTTTATAAAATAAAATGAGTTTATTCTATAAATTCATGAAGTCATAAGTTTTTTATTGTTAAAAAGAGATTTAAAATAGTGATTTTATAAATCATCCAAAACTCCAAGTCTTAAGCATAAAATAAAGTTTTATTAAGACTGTTACCGGTTCTTAAAACCGATCTACGACTAAAATTTAAAATACCGGATTTTAGTTTACAATTGATCGCAGTTAATGGCAAAATAAAGTTTTATTTGGCACCTTAAGAACCTCATAACAAGTTATATGAATTTTACAAAAAGGTATATGAATTGTTGGATGCATGCAATATTCATGAGACCATGTTTTTTTAAACTATAATTGTAAAACATATATAAACCCTTATTTACAAAACTTCAAATCTATGCAATCCATTTAAAATCCACTTGAGATTTTTGTGCAGTTCATATGGATTTTTGGGTCACCATATTCATTTGAGTTTTCGAAAATAGTCAAGGTGTTTTCGTATTTGCTTACGGGATAAAGGTCACCTAACCATTTGTCAAATAGAAATCACATGTTTTTTAAATGGATGATTTGATCAATTTGTTATGTGATAAAGGTTGCCTAAGCATAAGAGTTTTGAGGCATAGATGGGATAAACATGCCAAGCTAAACAATAGTTGTTTAGGATCCCATAATCTAGGAGTTACATATCGTATATAATTGGTAATCGCTACCTACCAAGTTTGATTAAGTTTATGGGATAAAGGTCGCCTAACCATTTACTTGTTTCGTTACTTGGATCCTAGACTTTAATAAATTAATGTTTTAAGAAACAATATAAGGTATTAATTTTTAAAGACTAAATATTGAAAATTCTAAATGAAACTTTGTTAAATTTTGTTGATAACTGTTAATAATTTTACGCCCTGCAAAATCTCTCTCTTGTTGAGTTTCAAGAGATAGTAACATTTGATGGTTATAATTTCTATAACTGGTATAATATCTTGAGGTTTTACCTTTAAGATAAATAGAAATTAATATATATATATATATATATATATATATATATATATATATATATATATATATATATATATATACTGAAAGATCTCATACCTGAATAACCTCTGCAACCAGCTAGTCTGATCATGATACTTTGATGGAAGTATTATTTGTGATGATGTTGATGTGTCTCACATCATACTGAAGAAATTAACCATGAATTGCAGAAAGTCTTGGATAATTATGAAACATATCAGATGTCTCATCAAGTAAAGCAGATGTTCAATCAGAACACTAAAAATAGCTTCAAGTCTGTTCAAGCATTGAATAAAAGGAAGTCTAAGAGATTGTGCACTCATATAGACCTATAGTTCAGTTAAGGAAATACAGCATAAACCCATAAATCAAGAAAGGACCAAATGATTAGTGTTGTTTCTATTGTGGAAGAAACTAGACACTAAAAGAGGAATTGCTCCTCTAATCTCATCGAGCTGAAGAAGTCTGACTTGGACAAGACATCATACATCTATATTATAGAACTATTTATTTTTCCATCATTTACTTGAGTATGTTATACTTAAAGTGACACTAATAGTTGATATTATGTGTTGATGATTGGAAGAAGTAATCAACTGATTACAAACGAATGGTAATTCGTGTTGAAGATATAACAAGTGTTGGTATAGTCTTTTATTTAAACAATAGATGTATTGTACATATTCTTATAGGGACATGTAACAGTTGTAATTTATAAATAAATCTGGATTTATTTATCGTTTAATGGATGTTCACATTCATGTTATGAAACGATGTATTCTGTGATAAAGAATATTTTCTCATAATGTTATTTATGAAGTAAATCTATAATCTTTCATTGAATTAATAGTTATGATCATAACACCTATATAATCAAATGATATTTTATTGTAACTAATCTATGTCATAATCATCATGACAATATAAATATGAAATACATATACCAACTTCAAAAGGATGGAATTTTTTAAGGCAAATGAGCTTGATTCATTTGATATATGTGAATCATATTTATATGGGAAGATGATTCACAAGAGTCTTTATTTATTAGTAGTTAAAGAACAAAAGGCTTGACAAAGAGTTATACATAAGTGATGTATGTAATCTTTTTCAATCCATGAATAGATTTGGTGATAGATTTTTATTCAATTTCACTGACGACTTTTATTCGTTATTGATGAAACCTTTGATTTTCTCAAATTGTTTCATAGTGAAGATTGAAATATAACTTAATGAGATCATCATTAACCTTTCGTTGTGATAAACAAAATGAGTTTTGTAAACCAAGTCTTCTTGGAACATCTTAAGAGTTATGGAATTGATTCACAACTCATTCCGACAAAGATACTCACTTGTCATTAGTATGTTTCTTGTGGCACAGGATCACCTGGTCACTTGAATCTATCTTTTGATATGCGAGGTAGCCTTCGAATTCTCTAGTGGGACAGGGTCACCTTGCCACTAGCTGAATGTTGATAGTACAAGTTTTGAAGAGTATAAAAATAGACCTTGCAATCTATTATATGATCTTTTAAAAGAACTATTTACTTTATAAAATTTTGGAATTATGCTCACTGCAACAAATATATATTGAACATATATATTTTCCAACCAAACAAACGTATTAAATACTTTCTTAGGCTAAGGATGAAATGGTTTATCCTTATCTAAAAGGTATAGAGTTATAGAGCTTATGTTGGATAATAAGTTTAACCACTCTAGCATCTACTAACTGCATTTATGTAGAATATCCTAAATGATTGTTTAGGATGAAGTTTTTACTAATCCCACTAATTATCATTCCAGAAGACAAGTGCTTAGAAAGTTATTTTTCTAAGTGGGAGCTATATGAAACTTTAAGAGCTTAAGAACCATAAACTAAATGCATCATAGTTTGGAACTAGCATGTTTTCAACTGTTGTTGAATCTGCTCAATGGTTGACCATAAACTAATAAAACACATAGAGATGCAGTAATGTATGATTATCAAGTATGGGCTTGATTAATCTTCCTCGATATAGTTTGACTATAAAGAGTAAGTGAGTTTTCAAGGGAGAAAACATACATGAATAAAAATCTTTCCAAGATTTAAGCTAATATCTCAAAGTAAGAATATTCTTTCTTATAAGATAATTACATAGTGTGATTTAATTATGAATCTAGATGACTCTTGTGTTTTCTACAAAGCTAGTGGGAGCATATTAACATTCCTAATGTTATATGTAGTCGACATATTAATTCATGGAATAAGGATCTATATAGATAGATCATGGCAACTTAAAGGATTAAGTAAAATTGCATTAATTGTCAAGAATCTTAAAGAGCTTAAGATAAAGGACTCTGAGAGAGTCGTCTTGTCAAAAACCAAATGACATGATTTTGAGCAAAATTCTAGTGCAAATGTTTTTGAACTAGATAATAAAAATTGTATTTTGTATGCTGATGCAATTGGATTAATCATATATGTCATGATTATGCATAGAGGCCAAATAAGTCATATGCTTAGAGCATGTCGAATGATACCAGTATAATCCGAGAACAAGTCATTGTGTGACTTATAGGAACATTCTAAAGTACTTGCGAAAACTATAGAAATACTCCTAATATGCGGAGTATTTGAAAGAAAGCTATGTTTAAAGTTGTTACACATGTGCTAAAATTTTCAAATATATTGAGATGACTCTCAGTCACAATCGGGGGTGTCCTCATTATGAATGAAGAGATAGTCACATGGATAGTGGTTCCATGTAGATTTTAATTACATTTACACATCAGAGTTAGAGTACCTCGTGGTTTAGAGAACCACGTACAAAGATCCTCAATGTATAGTTCATTATAATTATGAGTAATCCCATTACGCAAGTATTGGTATCTAAGTCATATTCAAGCATCCAATTCATTCTCAATAGTTTTTCTTTATATATGAGTTATCTATAAAACTGAAGATGATTGTATTCGCAAAGTTTACACAAATCAAGTTTGTCAAATCTACTTAACAAAGCTGCTTCATTAGCTAAAGCATGAAAGTCAAGATGGTGCTATAGGGCCTTGTCAATATAAGTAGATGTGTTGATTGAAATTTAGTATTTGGATATTGGAACAATAAAGCAACATATATTGTAATGAATGATATATTGGATATGAGTCTTTCATTAAATAATTGTTGTGTTCTATATTAGCACGTTTAAATCCTTGAATAACTAGGTTATTCTAAATGTCCATAGTCGTTCATAGTTGTGGGAGCATCTATGAGGTAAGACTAATATGAGTGGATTGGTGGATTCTCATAGAGATGAGAATGGAAAATAGGTGCCACCAACTTCATAGATACTTGATTGGGAGAATAAGTATTGGACTTGACCCGCATCAAAACCACTTTATGGATCATAGTCAAGAGTGATGTTTTGATCAAGGTTGTATCTTTTAATCATAGACCTAAGATACATATTTGGGATTTGAAGTGTAGGAATTGTTGTGCTTAGACATGGTTTAACGATGTTTCGTAAAAAGCAATCATAAGGGCCATCGTTGGGTATGACATGAACTGCATTGATGGGCGTATGTAGTCAAGATGATCTTTGTATACTTAGACCTGAGATACATATTTGGGACTTGAAGTGTAGGAATTGTCGTGCTTTGACATGGTTTAACATTGTTTCGTAAAAGGCAGTCATAAGGGCCATGTAGTCGAGATGGGATTTGTCCCTCTTATTCGTTGAGAGCATGACATCTAAGGCCTTAGTTAAAGTTGAACAGTAGATGAGATTGATCGTGTTCCATATCTCATGTTCGACATGATGTTTGAGACAAAGGAATAATAGATACCACGCCTTTAGTAACAATTGCATCTTAGAGATCCTGGAATTGGCTGTTGATGAGATGGCACCCTTCATATGTTGTTAGGGGCAGTAGCCCATTGCTAGACGTCATCTACTACCTGTGTCAGTCTATAATGAATCTTGTGCAAGTGGGAGATTGTTGGATCTATATGCCCAAGAATCATTATGGAGTGATATTGCTAATACTATATGATCCTATAGGGTCACACCTTTATCAAGTTGGTACATTTTGTATAGTTATTATAAATATGATTATTAATAAATAATATCAATTCTTGTATTTTAATTAGGGAATAATTATTGTTTGGAGAAAATAATAATTATAAGAGAGTACTACTAGTTATTATATCATATGGTATGATATATAAGTCATGTACAAAGTTTTGGACACTTTCACCAAAGATTGACAAACT